ACTTTGAGAAAAACGCAAAATTTTTAGAAAAACTGTTATTTTTTTCTGTATAAGGATCAGAAAACTAAAGAGCATACAGGAATACAGACTTTGCTGTGTGGAACATGCTATAAATCATAAAATCGGCAAATTGGACCAAAGTTGACGCTTTCTAAGAAACTTTAGTAAAAGAATTACTTTTGACATTATACACAAATCACTGCTCCCAAAACACCAACCTATATTTCTAGCGGAAAATACTTGAAATTTTCTTTTTACATCGATTTCTCTGGTTATGACTAGTTACTACTAAAACTGTAACGATGGTCACCAAACTTATCAACAATATCCATTGCGTATCGATTCAACGTATATCTCTTCTTCGTATTCTCTACTTTCTATCTATATTTTCTAAACCGTTACTGTATATTGTCTGCGCATTCAATATTCTTTTGCCGAAAGTAGTTCATCTTATAGATCTTAAGCTTTCGAGATTTTGCCATTGAATGTATGGAATTAGGCCTGTACAATTATTTCTTACAATGAAATTCCAAGAAATAATCAACATGCAGCCGCTTTCAAAAAAAGTATGACAATAATATTCCGTACAACTCAATCAGAAACGGCATTTCTTAGTTCTTTCAGATTTTATTGATACTATTGTACACAATCATTCAAAAGAGATTGATTCATTTGATGGGTCGCAAATTTTACTTCTTACCATGTAAAAAAAACTTTCCTAATTATGCAAATCTTAAAAATCAAATCAATCTGTAGAAATTTTCTCACTTTCTATTGACTTCTAATGTATAAATCATGCTTTCTCAGTGCATGTTGCTGTACCAGATGTGTTTCGTCGCTCAATTTTTACCATTTATTGTTTATAAAAAAAAACCTTATGTTGCCTAAATCGTTTCTCTGCTCTTCACCACATTAATACAAAGATTCTTTCAGCTGAGTATATCATGACAAAGTCATATAACAAAATTGCACCCGAATATCATCTAAGCGTTTAGCAACATCGTATCCAAAACAAGATCTTGATCATTTCCGCTTTATTCCCAGTTTACCAAATACCGACCGTTCTTTGCCAGAGAAGTCGAACAATGATAGCAACTTGAGACTAGGACTCAGATGAACAAATCAGCTGAGCGACTTTCTCCAGCTACCGTAGTTTCTAATCGAGGCTGGAAAAATGCAGTCATCGGATTTCTACTTTCAAGTTCCCATAAATTTCCTAGGTTTTTCGACAGGAAGCGGTGTATTTTTCTGCGAGTTCTCGCCGCAATGATTGTTACAGGTGGGTTGTCTAGTTTCAGCTTCGACTTCACACTTATCTTTATTAACTGTCGTTGCAGTCCCGATCCTAAACATAATTATTCTTCAACTCTGCTCTCCCATAAATAATAACATCATTTCCGAAAAAAACTTCAAAAGATCTCTTTATCATATAACTCTCTCTCAAATAAGGATTCATGTTTTTCTTCCTTCCAAATGGAATAAGTACGTGAACAGTACTCTCGTGAAAAATATGCATTGGTGTTGTGATTTTGGATCATCTGATGAATCTTTCTTTCTTCTCTTCGAAATCAAATCAACAGATGAACAGAACTATGATGAGAAATATTCATTTGTGGTGTGATCTTGGATCATTTGATGAATCTTTCTTTCTTCTCTTCGAAATCAAATCAATAGATGAACAGAACTATGGTGAGAAATACTCATTTGTCATGTGATGTTGGATCATCTGATGAATCTTTCTTTCTTCTCTTCGAAATCAAATCAATAGATGAACAGAACTATTATGAGAAATATTCATTTGTGATGTGATCTTGGATCATCTGATGAATCTTTCTCTCTTCTCTTTGAAATCAAATCAATAGATGAACAGAACTATCGTGAGAAATATACATTTGTGATGTGATCTTGTATCATCTGATGAATCTTTCTCTCTTCTCTTTGAAATCAAATCAATAGTTGAACAGAACTATTTTGAGAAATATTCATTTGTGATGTGATCTTGGATCATCTGATGAATCTTTCTCTCTTCTCTTTGAAATCAAATCAATAGTTGAACAGAACTATTTTGAGAAATATTCATTTGTGATGTGATCTTGGATCATCTGATGAATCTTTCTTTCTTCTCTTCGAAATCAAATCAATCGATGAACAGAACTATCTTGAGAAATATTCATTCGTGATCTGATCTTGGATCATCTGATGAATTCTTTCTTTCTTCTCTTCGAAATCAAATCAATAGCGGAACGTAGTCATAAAAGAATAGTCATTCATTTGTGATGTGATCTTGGATCATCTGATGAATCTTTCTCTCTTCTCTTCGAAATTAAATCAATAGATGAACAGAACTATGATGAGAACTATTCATTTGTGATGTGATCTTGGATCATCTGATAAATCTTTCTTTCTTCTCTTCTAAACCAAATCAATAGATGAACAGAACTATGTTGAGAAATATTCATTTGTGATGTGATCTTGGATCATCTGATGAATCTTTCTTTCTTCCCTTCGAAATCAAATCAATAGCGGAACGTAGTCATAAGAGAATAGTCATTCATTTGTGATGTGATCTTGGGTCATCGGATGGAACTTGCTGTTTTCTGATCGAGATGAGCAGAATAGGTGAGCTAATTCTTTGGTTTAATTTTATTCGGTTGCCGATTTTCATTTGGGTGATGTTTTGACTCTTAACTTTGATTCGAAATGAAGAAATAGCTGAATAGGACCGGGCTGAAAGATATTCATGGATTAGAGACTTAAAAGTTTATGTGTAAATTTTTTTCTTTGTTGTCCAAGCTGTGAAGAATTGCTGAATGATTCTATCATTATATATCTTCTTTTATAATCCATCTTTGTGAAGCTTTGGATTCGTAGGTGTTGCATTGAAATGAGTAGAGTAGATGAATAAAGTCATTTATGTTCATGCAAAAAATAAAATTGAAAATAACTCGAATAATCTTAGCAGAAATTTGTTTTTAACGGAGCATGATAATTATTGATTGTTTGTATTTTGAAGGAGAAATAAAGACACTGAATGAAGGTTGAAATTCATGGATTTTCCAAAGCGTAACAAGATGATTGGTTTTTCTTTTTGTAAGGGTGTGGTTAGATGCGCATCTTTTTCTTCACACGCACCACTCAATAGGCACACTCCCAGCTACATCTACGTCCTTCCTAAGACGCTTTTCAATCCTATATGTTATGGTCTATGGTATGGTAAGGAGAGGAAGTGCAAGTTCCTACTCTATGCACTATAACACCACTTATAGATTGTTATTTTTTACAAAAGTAATATACTCATTATCAGCGAATTTATTTGAACTAAATTTAGATCATAGATTATAAAGATTAGTAAGAAGTAAAAGTGATAAAAGTTTTTTGGCAGTTGTATGTTTACCATCGAATATAGTTTGAACAATCCGTTGTGCTTTTAAACAATAATTTTTTTGGTTCCTCTAATCGTGATTATTGTTTCACTTTGATATTTTTGTTTTTGCAAATCAATGTCAGCAACAAATTTCATACAAATATCACCTAAATTTGAATCAACATCACATACTTCAATATGATTGGAACCTACATTATTGTAATGAATTTGTATTGCTTGTTTCACATGTGTATATGCGATTTTATAATCATTTATCATTACATATGAAACACCAAGAGAATTAAGAAAAATTGCATATTTATGTTTATCATTGAATTTTCTTTCAGTAATAATGAATGGCCTGCTTATAATTACCCATACAAAGAAAGACAAACAATCATTAATCAAATTTTATCCTGCATAATAACTAATCAAGTTGATGTTGATTTTTTATCAATATTGTGTAGAATTTCTGCTACTTCCAAATGTTGGAAACAAAGTTTTTTTTTCCCATTAGCTATTAATGAACGTTGAGAAAGTTGTAATTTTCGATAGATATCAACCAAATTACTGTAATAAATACTCAACTGATACTGTTCTTGGTCACAGCCAAATGTGTTGTAGACTATTTTAATAGTAAGATTTATAATATTTTTGTGCATTATCACAATCAGCTTGTTTTCTTTTTTAAAACTAAACCCATAGAATTAAGGACGTCAGCTACTGCCATATGATTGTTCTGAACAAGTTAATGCTTCTTTATAACTTGCTTCAGCTGTTTTGAAATTTCCTTGTTAACACATTTAAAAAAAAATTTTTCTTAAAGAATTTTTATAATTTTCGATAAATTCGTATCATCAATATTGATAAGACAAATTCCAACAGTTGGATTTTCTTTTCTATAGTAATATTTTGAAAATTTTAATCTTTTTGTTCTTTTTTAAGTAATAGTCCAAGATTATTCATAATATCAGCAACTGTTGGATGATTTTGTTCATAGAGTGATTCAGTTTGTTTGAGAGATTTAAAATAAAGTTCTCTTGCTTCATTATAATGGCCTCATTTACAATGAATATCTCTAGATTTAAAGATAAATTATTCAATAAATAAATCGACAATAACAAAACATTTTACCAGAAAGATTTGAGGTGTGGATGTCGATGTGAGATCTAGTCTTCTCTTCATCCAATTCCCTTGATATTAACTTTCCTTATGCGATAATATTGATTGAACTGCATTTTATATGCATAAAAAACACAAAATCAATAATTAGCAATTCTATGTTTTGTGAACACATCCTGTTTTGGATAAAATTTTTTTTCAACCACCTCTCCAAAAGGCTCGAAGGATTGAGCCATTATTATATGATCTGTATTTGAGAAAACTATTGAATTCTTCTGTTGTTTGTTGACCCCTGAATTCTAAGTTAAATATCGAGTTGCGAACTAAAAAATCTAATTAAAACAGTATAAGATAAACTATTGCTTTTGTGGGTTTTATTGAAAGAATATACAACTATCCAATGAAAAACTAATTTTCTACAAGGATTTAGGATTTTAGTGCACATTAAATGTAAAAAAAAAAAGAGAATAATTTATTCAACATCATTGTTATTTCATATTAATGTTATAATAAATTAAACGCACAGACGAAATCTTGATATTTGAATATCAAATTGACTATTCAGAAAACGAGATTGAATCATAAAACGATATGATTCAACTTTTTCTCGAAGATTTATTCCATAAATATCAAGAAAAACAAATTGTTTTAATTGTTCAAGTAATTGAGAAAGATCTTGTTTAAAAATAGTTACATTTTCATTCAAATGACAAATATTTTAATATTTCTTTTTAATAAAGATACTTAGACTACATAACGATGGATTAGAATGTTTGTAACGATTATAAATTAAATAAATTTAAATTATAAATATGTTTTTAAATAAAAAAAACATATTTTTCTTTTTCTTTGAGTAAATAAATACTTGATAATCGAAAAAAATTCTCTTTATCTTCTTTACAAAATTATTTAAAATAAACAATGTTATTATTAAATATTCTTAAATGAAATAGAAGTGATATATTTTTTTAAAATAGTTATTTGATTCTGATTTTAATTATTTTCTTATGAATTCAAACAATTAAAGAGGAAAATGAAAATTTTTCAAACATTAAACGTTACCGTTGATCTATTAAATCACTATGCTATTCATAAAACTTTTTCAAAGAAAAATAGTCAATCGAAGTTTAAATCAAGTTTTTGAGGTTTTGCCTTAAAAGAAAGTCTTTTTCGATCTCATCAAACAGAACTAAAGATCAAGCAGTACATCCACGTTCTTCATCCTGCTTCTCATTGTTAGCAAGGTCAGACAGCAGCTTGATAATGAGAAAATAAAAGAAATAAATATTTAGAGCAGAAAAAAACGAAGTAAAGTGTTTCTCTGATAATTATAAATTTTTGAAAAAAAAGACTTTCTCCTTATTGGATACATTTCAGATTACATATTTTATATACCACTATAAGATACCTGATAAGGACAAAGAAATTCTACATCTAAGTCTGTTGTAGGTTGCATTAGTAATGTTTTTAACATATATATTTATTCAAATAAGATAGATTTCCTATGAAAATGAATTTATTTTCATAAATTAAAATATGACTTTTTTTTATAAATATTAAACATAACATTGTTATAGAAATATTAGTTTAATCAATGAAATTCTATGAATGATATTCAGAATTGAAATTCAAAAAAAAATTGCTTATTAATGATTGTGATGAATTATACTTTATTTAAAAATAAACTTACTTGCTGTTCAAGGAAAATGTCTAGTCTCCAAAAACTTAAAGTTTGTAAATGAGGCATATAATTACTAAGAGAAAGTACAAAATATTTCCCTATATAATTGATTCATTTGAACTATGATTAGAACTTGGAATATCAAATTGGGTGTGGGTGTCCGTATGCGTGGCTGTTCTTCCATTCTTCACCCACACCCACACCCATACCCAAACCCAAACCCACATCCACATCCCAAAATGAAAGATAATGAGCGAATAGCAACAGTGCAAAATAGAAATAGGACGCCCGTAGAAAAAAAAATTTCTGTTCGAAATGGAGAAATTAGAAAGTTTTTTACTCTGATTTGCGATTATCCTACAAAACAACTATAGTCTTCGAGAAGTTTCTCCTTTTGCATTTTTTTGTATTAGTTTAATGAGGCTAGAGAGCGTATGTGAGTTCTACATTTCAGCCTCAAGGGGGCTGCAATAACAGGCTTTTTTAAACTCTCGGGGAAAACGCTGTAGAAGTTGATCATGATGAGATTTTGAAAATCGGAAAAGACAGACTTGTAGAAAAATGTTTGCTCTGCATGCAACCTGATGAAAGTTTTTTTGTCCGAGGAAAAATGACAGAATTATTCTTGTTTTTCGACTGAAAATTGAAAAGTGTGCACATTTACCTGCACTAGCTCTAGATGTTTCAAGTGTGTTACTGATACTAAGTAAAACAATCCGAGTACGACAAATATGAACTCTCAATTTTTCGAAATTCTTCATATCATTATATTACAGAAATTGCGTGAATCATGAATGGTTCCAAGTATGCGATGTAGTCATGTAGGAAGTCATAGTTTTGATAACGATGTATTCATCTGTTCAATTGTGATTTTCTATTTCCAGCAGTTTCTTAGAGTAATTGTCAAACTTTTTATATATGACAATGAACATGAACAACATTTCAGATGAGTATCACTGAATTGTCAAAAACAACAAGTAATCAATCAAATAAATACTTAGATTGGATTTATACATATGGTTTTTTTGGACATAAATGAAGTCAGCTAAAACACTGTTATTTGCGATATTCATCACATGACGTGATAAAAAAAAAATAATTTTAATTTCATTTTCAGCTTTGTAAATAAGAAAAAAAATTATTGTAATGCTTAATGCCGCGGAAGATGATGCATTTCATGCATTTTAATGTGCATTTTTCCATTATCTACTTGATAGGGTACTTGAAGTTTCACTTTTTTCTGTTCGTCGTCTTGCTGGTCGTGCTGGTAGGAGCCGCCACGTCCAATGAGGATCTATTGATATCGATTGGATGTATTCTGTTTCTTACCTAGATAAATATTCGAAATCAAATGAGAAATTTACAAATAAAATCCGATTTTATCTGGATGCACATATTCTACGCAAGGCGAAGAAAATGATTGATTGATAAGGGAATAGTATACGGGAAAATGTCCTTTTGTTTTCTGTTTTTTATTTGTCAAAAAAAAACAAAGCAAGACAATGATCTACTCACATAACTCGCTTGTGAAGGTTGTGCACGGGATGTCGATTTGACTTGCAGTTGTCCCGATGTAATCAATTCGCCCCAACCTTCTTGTTGAGAAAATGCATAACTTGATCGTATAGATCGCTTTCTATGACGTAATTGCAGTTCAATATGTGCAACGAAAGCTGCTTTTTCTTCGTTACGAAACTTTTGATTGAGTCGAGCCTTGTCGGTCGTAGTTGGCATGAAACGCATTTGAAAGAATCTAAAGAAAATTCCTTGAATCGAACAAAACAAAAACCAAAGCACAAAACAAATGAGTCGTACTCGCGACAGAACGCGGGCAAGAATAATATGGCACAAGTGAGAAGTAATGTAAACCAAAAATTTCCAGTCGATAGCACGGTGTGAGCCACGCCAACATAAACATAATTTGTTTGAAAAATTTGATATATTATTGTCGAGTAGAGAGCAAAATGAAAGAGAAAATGGGCAAGTATTGTACCCCAGAGAGCGAAATGATACAATCCCGTCCAGTACCAAGCTTCAAGGGCATTTTGAAGACTGACAACAATGACAATGGTGGTCGCCATTATAAAACCAAATGATTGTAAATCGGTTTGGGTCATACCGTCGGATCGCGTACTATTCGATACGGAGAGATAGGGCACGAAGAAAGCGATACACGATGTCAGTATTCCATGAATAACGCTTTTCGCAAATATTTTGTTATTGAAAAATTCATTCTTTTGACCAGGAATGTATCTAAACAAGTCAATAGAGAAACATAGTTTGAAACTACAAACAACAGAACGATAGATAGATGATCGACTTACAAATGTGGTTTACTCAACGAATGATCAGCGCTGATATCCTGTCAAAATACAATAAAATTAAGACATCGTTATTCATCAAGAAATGATCGGTTATGTCAAATCAATCGATGAACTTTCCTCCGCATTTTCATTGTCTGTTCGAATTCTACTACAAATCAAATGACAAATGACGTACCTGATCTAAGACACCCACTGCCAGTACAGGTAATGAAGAAAAGAAAAGATTGTAAGTACCGATAAAGAACTGATCGTACACAGTCTATATTGAAAGAAAAATAGTCGAGAAAAAAATGGAATCTCGAAATCAAAATTCTTATACCTGAGCCGAGAAACCCGAAAAGAAACCAAACCAAAAGTGGCATAATGTAAAGGCAAAATTTTTGTAGAAAAAGTAGCGCAGAAATTTTGAAATACGTAAATATGACCAACGTCCATGGACAAGTAAGAGTCGTTCAAGATAACGAAATTGTGCGAAACTGAAATCGCTGGCTAGTACAGCCTGTCGACCTTCTTGGCCGCTAATACCGATACCGATATGAGCTTCTTAAAAGATAACACAAGTAAATCGATCGTACCACAGACTCATGGAAAAGAAACAAAATTGCACTTACTCTGAATCATGGTTACATCATTCGCTCCGTCACCAATCGCCAATGTGATCTTTTTCTCATTCTGCATCACCAATTCGACGACCAGACCTTTTTGTAGTGGCGTCACTCGACAACAAACCACTGTCTTACACATCGTACCCAATTCGAGAAATTTCATTTTTACTTTATCGGTCAATGCATGAACCAATGCTTGGCCAGTAATGAGCAGTCCGAAACCTTCGAATTGTTCTTGATTTTGTGAATATGTATTCATAGTAGTAAAACCATCATCTCGCTGATTATGATTCGTCTGCTCGATATTACTTGATGCTTTGCGATATTGATCGAATTTCATCTCATCAATACCCCAATCTTTCCAATCGAGTCGCTTCGTTGGATCCTCAATTTTAACACTAAATAGTTGTTGAATCTTTTGAATCATTTCCTTTCGAACTTGATCTAATCGTTGCATGACGTCGTTTTCGTTCTCTTCTTCAATGGTATAAATTTCCATCTCATTCGTCAATAAACGACACGATAGTCCAATATTAAAAGCCGTTTCTAAATGTAATTATTCAAAACAAAAAAAAGCAAAAAATCTAGGAATGATTACGAACCAACTTTATCACCAGTCAAGACCCAAATTTTGATACCAGCTTGTATTAGACGTTCGATACACTGTGGCACACCATCTTGAAGCTTATCTTCGATTCCAGTGGCACCGAGAAGTTTCATATTTGTTTCGATTTCTTCGTATGCATCATTGACTTTTTCTTCGCGTCTATCCATACTTGTCCTAAATAGGAATTTTAATGATGAGAAATTTTGTTCCGAATTCAATTTTAACCAAGAAAACTCTCTCAATATGAATTCGACATCCTAAGAATCGTTTCAAACTCTCATTGTCGAATTCCTATCACGATCACTTCAACTATAATTGATTGCTACCGTGAAACTTACTTGGCTTGGTTCAATTTTTCTGCCCATCGTCTATATTCGATTTCGTCCAACTCTTTCCAGGCTAAGCAAAGCGTACGCAGACCATCGTTAGCAAATTTCTATTAGCAATAATCGATTCCTATCTGTATTACAAATACAAAAACTATACAATATATTTGGACCTACAGTGAGATGTTCGTCAGTTTCGACCATGATATCTTTCTCAGACGGATTTAATCGTTCCTTAATTTTCGAATCAGCACCTTTACAATACAACATTATTCTGTCATCCTTCTTGATAATAACCTAAATGAAAATAAATACTTGAATAAACAGCAACAAAAAGTGTGTGTTCGTTTACTACTGACCGACATGCGTTTTCGATCATTGTTGAAATCGAGAATATGCAATAGATCGTAGGTTTCTTCCTTGTCTTGAACACGAACACTAATACTACTTTGAGTACGATTCTTAATGACGACAATAATGACAGTGAATTACCATTAGATATTGAGAAACGCTGATATTTTTCATTTAGTGTTAACATTTGAAAATGAATAAATGCCGGCAATTCAAAAATTGAGCAAGAATTTGTTTTTTCGACGTTTTTGACATTGTTGGATAGAGTTCGTCAAGTTGAATATGAAAACATAGTTTTTAGATTTTTCTAAGCTCCGTTTTCCAAAAACAGAGGTAGTCTGTATTATTGACTCGATCATTTGTTTTGATTCTCGGAACTAGTTTATTCGGAATCTTTATGCAAAATTGTTGATTGAGAACTGGATTTCATTAAAACAAAACGAAAAATCAGCCACGATTTGGAAGATAAGAAATCAGTTTGTTAGTAGATCGAAAATAGTCAACATACGTTCTTCTCAAAGTATCAAGTCTTCACCAGTGAAACATAAACTGATTTTTATTTCATGATCATAACAACTATAGCTATACGAAAAGTATGATGTACCGGTTTTCCATTATTTATTGGTTATGCTGAGAAAATCCATTTTTTTTTAAACTCATATCGGTGCCAGAAGTCAGTGCACTCGGATGTTTTTTGAATAATTTTCGATAGGAACAAGTTAGAGATCTGTGGGTTTCAGCAATCGAAAGAAGAGACATGAAGCCGTCTTTTTCTCCGAAAATGTGTAAGACAAAATCTTTTTAAAACCAATCATCTCCGGAAAACATTTGAAAAAATGCACGAAACTGGTCTGCCATTCTGATGAAGTTTTGAAAAAAAGTGAAAAAATTTAGCTGAAAATAGGCACAATTTCTTATTACTTGAGTAAGCCAGTACATGATTTCGTTGGTTCAGCGTTAGAGTGTGAAATAATAACAATTCGCATTGTGTCTTGAACTATAGATCTGAAGTCCCTCTATCCAAATCATATGTCAAAATCAAAATTTCATCAGAATTGCAGACCAGTTTCATGCATTTTTCAAATGTTTCCCGGAGATGATTGGTTTTAAAAAGATTGTGTCTTACACATTTTCGGAGAAAAAGACGGCTTCATGTCTCTTCTTTCGATTGCTGAAACCCACAGATCTCTAACTTGTTCCTATCGAAAATTATTCAAAAAACATCCGAGTACACTGACTTCTGGCACCGATATGAGTTTAAAAAAAAAATGGATTTTCTCAGCATAACCACTAAATAGTGGAAAACCGGTACATCATATTTGTCGTATAGCTATACTTGTTATGATCATGAAATTAAAATTAGTTTATGTTTCACTGGTGAAGACTTGACACTTTTGGAAGAACGTATGTTGATTATTTTCGATCTACTAACAAACTGATTTCTTATCTTCCAAATAGTCGCTGATTTTTCGTTTTGTTTTAATGAAATCCAGGTCTCAATCAACAATTTTGCATTGAGATTCCGAATAAACTAGTTCCGAGAATCAATACAAATGATCGAATCAATAATACAGACTACCTCTCATATGATTCTTACGTTTGAGCTTGTTTCGGAAAAAGGATATCACAACTTTTTTTTTGGAAAACGGAGCTTAGAAAAATCTAAAAACTATGTTTTCATATTCAACTTGACGAACTCTATCCAACAATGTCAAAAACGTCGAAAAAACAAATTCTTGCTCAACTTTTGAATTGCCAGCACTTTACTTCTAGCATTTCTTTCAAAAAGTCTAAGTTGATCTAACTATAGTAGCATTAAATAACACAAAAGTAATACTAATATAATGCTTTTGCACCTGTGTTTTAGTCTCAAGTACTAGAAATACAATTAAAACCTTGTCAGTGTAGCCCTAATGGGACTAAAATGCTTAACACACATAAGAATACTGAGCCAACAAATAAGAGCAAAGACAGCTATGAAAGAATTTAGAATCACGAAAATCAAAGAAGCAATGTGCTTAAATAAAAGAAGCGCACTTCCTGAAATAATTGGTTTTCTGTATTATCAGACGAATCAATAAATTAGATTAGTAAACCGAGAGACGGTGCTCGCAAACTCGGACTCAAGCTAACACACTATTTTTACAATACTGAATGTACCATAAATATCTTTACGATAAGAAAATTTAATATCTCCACTTGGTTTCAATCAACTTGGCTGATTTTTTTCTAGTTATAGAGAAGACTTTAGAACTTTTTCATACAAAATTGGTTAACAGATGTTTCTTTCAACTGTCATTTTCGAATAAAAGGTACGTCTCGTATTAGAAAAATTTAATGGTTATGCACCACCCCCTCAACGAAAATGATGTTGTCCTCTTTTTAATATTTTGAATAAAAAACAAAACGTGTATTGCCATTTTCTTTCTGACTTACATAAAAGACAAAGCCAAATGCGCATGCACAACTGACGAGTGCGTTTTCATCTGGTGATTGAGCTTGATAGATGATTTTACCGTCTTTTTCTTCAGGCATAACTGTATGACATAGGGCAAGATGGAAAAAGAAATTGTGAACATTGCGATCGCCATGTTTGATGTCATCGATTAGTTTTTGATCATACCAAACAAATTCTTTGTCTTGTTCGGTAAATTCGATTGGTTTGAGTTTCTAACGAAGAACGTAAACAAGACAAAATCGGCAACATTATCGAATTGCCCATCAAAACAAAATAGATCATAAAAAAGAGAAAAATTTTTGCCATAGTCATTTTACAAAATTTCCTGATTTCAGTCAAACATCAGTCAAGTCTAAATAATGCTTGTGTCATACCTCCGGATCTTGAATTTCATTACCAGCTTCGTCTAACACATAGCCATAGATTTGACCACGGATCGAACACTTCTTGAATGTCATTATATTCTATAAATCAACATATATCGAGGTCATGATAAGACATATAAACATCTCTATCTGTTCACGAATCACTTTTTTGTTCGCTTTTGTCTCTTCAATTTCTCAACACAATCAAATCAGAAAAGGCTGACATTTTCAGAAGATGTTTAAGTCAGATCGCCCTACATATGAGGAGTGTTTCATTAGATTGACGCCTTTCTTTACAGTTGTATAAAAGCTTGTGATGGAATGATTAAAAGTGAACTCGAAGTTGAGTGCTGTGTAAAGCACTAAAAGTTTTCGCTTAAATACAAATGTAATGAAAATTGTTTTCTTAGCGGAGTTATAGCATAGATGACGAGATCTCACTTAACGACATTTGCATAATTGTCGGACGGGCCCAAGGTCCGAAAAGATAGTTCCGGAATCCATTCTCAAACGTACCTTGTTTGCGGTGTTCATTATCATTTTTTTCATCAAAAAGAAAAAGAGTAGAACAAATGATTGACTGAGAATAAGATCTTTCTAAGAATCTTACAACGCCAAAAGGTTGATGCTTAATATAACTTCACAAATATTCTTTTGAAATTTCATGGCTGATCGGGACGAAAAAAGTTTAGCTTGCTCATCCCTATCTACAAGTGTTATTTGTTCCTGAAGTAACTGAAAGATCTGTCAAAAGTGGCAGTCAGAGATTAAATGTATCAAAAATATGATGTTTCATAGCATGACTATCGTTATTTCTACTTGATTTTCTGAGACCGACAAAATCTGCTGTTATATGGACAGACCGATTCAACAAATTTTTACCTGTGTAAGTGTTCCTGTTTTATCCGAGAAGACATATTCAATTTGTCCAAGTTCTTCATTGAGCGTAGTAGTACGTGCTTCTGTCGGAACATTGTACGGTTCGTAGTACATTTTCAAATCCCAATCGATCCATTTGGATTGTATAAGACGAATAATTTCGACATTGATATAAAGTGAAATTGGCACAACGGTACTCAAAATAATAACATATGAGAGAAAGACCAATAAACCGTTTTCAACAGCACCAATCTGTGAATCATTCGATATATAACTTGCCCATGGTAAATACATACGAAAATTATAACCAATAAATGACTCCCAAAGACCACAGCAGAGAGTCATGATAGCACACATAATCAGAAGAAACAAAAATATCTCCAAGTAAAACAATCATATTCATCGAACAAGTTTTTTTTCTTCTTCTTTTCTTACTTACCGCAAGAATAAAACGATTTAGCATGTGATCAATTTTAGTCCGTTTGAATTTTGCTTTGTCACTATTTCTCATTAGCTTTGTATCGGGTCCGGCATAACAAACAACTATTCAGATTGAAAATCGAATTTATGAATAGAAATATTAAAGCAAGACTTACTGCCAAAGGCCCATTTGGTATTTCGTAATCGAGTACCACGCAAGAGAAGATTGTCGTTTTTCAATGGGTAGATCTTATTTTTCCATTTCAAATTGCCTTCAAATCTATTGAGATTGATATTCGGTGCTTCGAATTCGATTTCAGCTGGATAAAACCGTATAGAAAATCAAATAATTTTCAAAAATTCTACAATTTCACAACGTTTAATATTAATTCTTACCATCAAAAGTGGACAATTGGTCGATATTATCTTTAATATCAAAAGTTTCTTTGAGTGCGTGTCGAACTTTGAGATTCGTTTCACTGAAAATTGAACGAACAAAGAATTGGTTTCCAAAATTAAGAAGTTTCCAATTGATTAATCACCCATCGAGTTCTGCTGTTTCGATATAGCACAATCCATTGGGTTCGCTAGTCGAAATAAGGACAATATCGGCCTGACAAAGAAAAAAACAAAGTCTGAAGATCAAACATCCATTGAAATAGTGAATCAATGTTAAAAGAAACAATAAATCGATCATCGTCCCGCACATCAAACGTGAAAACTTTGCAGATCGATCGTTCTGAACACCAGAATCGTCATAAACCGATTGGAAAATCGACGATCATAACAGAAACATAACGAAAACAGTCGATTCCGGCGATTGCTATGCTATCGGACTCCGGACGCAAGTTTTATAGAAATTTTCGATGATTTTCTGGCCGATTCAGACCAAACAGTGATGACCTTGGTCATATACGCTGAAGCTTCATCCAGCAAATATCACCCGTCAAGATTCAACAATAGAGAAACCAATGCGTATTCATTCATCAGAATGAATTCATATATGTTCTGCTGTTAGACAATTTCAGATAGTCTTGCTCAGAAGATGAGAATTTTCACGTTTCAATCCAACAGGAAAACAACTACTTGTGAGTTTTATTATTGTGAATGAGTTTCATTGAATGAAAACTCGCCGGAAATGACTGAAAATCATCGAAAATTGCAAAGAAGCAAAGAGGATCAATTGAAACTCAATTGATTTTTGAATGATTTTAATCAGCCATTTTCTTTTTGATTCGAATTCAGTTTCACTCATGACAAATATCAATATTCGTACTTACTGTGACAAATTCATCGTTAGTCAATTGAATAATGTCACCAGCATTAATTTCTCGCCATTTTCTAGTCGTAAGCTGTCCATCGACAAGTGTACTCGTTTGGCGATTATTAATTTGATTATCACTTCGATGTCTTCCCTATAAACAATCTATTTAAAACTATCGGAGGATTAAATAGATTTGTCTTACAATATCATCACTGGCGTCCTTGATGGCTGTCAAGAGCAATACTATGAAAAGTGGCAAGGCTGTTGTAGCGGGTCGTAGAGAACTGACTTGTGGTATTAGCTAAAAAATAGCCAATGGCAAACGAAAAAGTTTGTCAGCAGCGCCCCTTCGGAGCTAAAATGTGGAACTCACAATTTCTGGTTTTCTAAAATGGATGTTCAAGAACAAAGAAATGGAGATAGTACATCATATAGTTATCGTTAACTAAGAAGATTGTGTATTAATACTATTCATAACACACCGTGATTCCTACGAAACCTACCTGGTGTGCTATGAGAACTCATGTGTTGACCCTTGACGTGACTCTTATAGCATACTCGTTAACGAACACCTCTTCATTAATAGATAAACCTACATCTTAACGCTTGCTAATCACTTCCCTCTGCTGTTGCTATGGGAATGTACCGGTGACCTGTGACCCCAGTTGCTATGGAGAGTAGAAGGAGCCCCCAAAACTTCGACTGAAAACTTATACGCCATATTTTCCTTCGTAAAATATGTGAGTTCCACAAAACACAATTGAACTATTCCGAAAGACAATTGTAAATTCTATCTACTTGTAAACAAAGTTGAAATAAAAAGTATGCATTGGCTAATCGAGTGAATTGTTCGAAGAGATTTTTCGGTAAAAAAGTTATCAGATTGTATTTCGATGTCGATATTTCATTGCCCTAAATGATGATTCTCGTCAAATATGATCACAAAATTTCACTTTTGATCATTTGAATCTTACAGCATATCGTTTGAGTGTATTGTTCTCACGATTATTGGCTTGGATCGTTCGACTGCCTTCTATAAGATCATGAGTGAATTGCAATTTTTCAAGACAATAAGGGAAAATTGATGACTAACCTTCAATTACCTTCTTTTTGAACAACGATAATCTATTCATTTTTTTATCAAGCACGATCGTTTTCGATGAAGAGGAAAGCGATTGTTCTTCAATGCTTTTTCGTCGTCGTCACTTGTTTTTACGCAATCAATAGCACAAATGAATGGATAATAGCAATAATACAAAGTTACAACGCATACAAGAAAGAAATGATCTACAACATAAATATTTGTTGACTAATCACTTGAAAATGTGACGTTCTCTTCTCAGCCTTCGTAGTTCTAATTGTTCCAGTACTATCTATTTTCTGCTATCCTTCTCGCTCTGAGAAACTTATAGGGGAGACAAGAAACTCGCCATCATACGGGATTTCTCCTACTAATTGTCTCGTACTGATCGTTAACCAACTCGTCCACTGCGAATTATTTTGAAGATAAGAAGTGCCCTTATACGGTGTTTGGACACATCGCTACTTCTTGCATGGCCTTCTATTGAGAGTCTCTTGTAAAACACATGATCATCCATGGTCGCCCATATTTTTTGTCGTAAAGTAGTCCGAGTGAAATTAAGCACAAATCTAAAATATTAGGCTTTTATATTGTAGTATAAGAAAAATAGTAGGAGTACGTCACTTCGATTTTCATCTTTATAGAAGTCAGTCCATGTAAGCAACGACCGAATGTGTTCAATCGAGATCTTCAGATTTTGCTCAATTTCAGATATGTGGTAGAGGAAAGTGTTTTATGAATTTTCGTGCAAGCCGTTTCCAAAATATTGAACCATCGATTTTTAATGATGATTTCCAAAAGTCCTAAGAATCAAGACTCACAAAATTGGAAATACTCTCAGCTTAGTATCTCAAGAACAATTCGATTGATCGAGCTGAAATTTTTTGTGAATGCATACATCAGTAACCTCTACCTATAAACAAATTTTCAGCTCAAATGATTGAGCCCTTGGTATTCTATGGATTTCCCTTAGACAGGCGAAAAATTGCTATTTTTGGTGATTTTGGAGCTTTATATCTCGTGATTGGAAGTAGATAGAGAGTTAAAATCTTCAGTGCAAGCAGAACTCGCAGAGATTTAGCTGCACTATAAATTTGAGCTCAGTACGATGTTGTATTTTCCCAAGAAGACCTTGCCAAAGTTCAGTTTTTGACTAAAATCGCCATATTCAGTCAAAGTTATCTACCAAAATTATGGGATGGTTTGGGAGTTGATAGTTAGAAACTGGAAGTCCCATATATGATCTGCAACCTTATAGAAAAATCAACGTAGAATCACTACAAACGATCTAGAAAAGCGATAGTCTATTGGAGTCACAAATAGAGATAATTTGATTTTTGCAATTAAAAACCCAAATGGAAAAAAAACCTCATCGTTTTCGAAGAGTCGTTTATTTTGGAATTATCGGACCATTCTAGTTTCCTCTACTTTTTCATGCAAAAGTAACATTATGAAACATTAAAAGTTATATATTCTTAACCAGCTCGAAGAGCTCTATCGAATAGTATTGTAAGAAAATCTTCAAACAAATTTACTCGAATTTTGCATTATTTGTACTTTATTTGTACTGATCTCTTCAAGGTAGTCTTTCGCAAAGCATAATGTAAAGCATAACAGCAGTTGCCAATTTTGGGCGGGTGCCGCGATATCATGTTATTCGAATCACGTCGCAAAAATTCTGGCGAAGCGGGGATTAAGTTTTGCTGGAATCCACAGTAAGCTGAGCACGTATAGTATTCATCTGCTGTTCAAATCAAAATAAATTAATTTGATATCGAGTTAATTATGGCCTTGAATAATCACAAGAACTTTTGGTTTGATGTCATTATTAATAGTATGGAAATTTTCCAGGAACGCCAAAGCACACAATACATACAATAAATAATGATGATATTAAAAAGAAATTTTTCTCAGGACTCGCCATGAACCGCTTACTTGCATTTGAAAACCAAGATGTTGTAAGAAACTAATTCCAGTGCAATAAATATACCTTCTTGAAGAACCTGCAATCGTAGTAAATGATTTATGGACGTCTTTCGAGTGATATGTTTTTGTCAACCATAAGAAGTCAATTTCCGTCGTGATCTCGTTTCAAATATCCGCCATATTTTCCATTATTTTACGTACCTACAGTCAGACTACTATTTCAAGCTTTTGTTTTGAAAATGTAATCGAATCTACATTGTTTGACAAATTGAATAATAGTTACACTTGCATGTTACCTTGGTTGCGTGTAGTTAATCGACGTACCGTGAATTCTAGCAACAACAAACATGCACAGAAAATAGTTCAAGTAAAAAGTGTAAATTGAGTCGCTTCGAATGTGTTGGTGAGATACTTAACTAACCTATCTTATTTCACTATCTGCATAGAATAAAAAATATGTGTTCTATTGTAAAATTTTCTTTTTCTGTCATGGTTAAACTAAAAGGGCGCATATTATTCGATGTTAACGACGGAAGAAACGCGTTGTTGTGCTGATTGATGAATGCAGAAAGGTACACACTCTCTTTCAGAGACTTGTGCCGTTCTCTTTCTTACCAAAAATGAGAAAATTTTTTTTTCCTTTCCTCTTGACAAAAATCGGTTCGC